AAATTATTATTTTTATTAGCTTGAACCGAGTTCCCGTAAGAGAGAAAGTCAACTTGCTCCCATGAATGGCTCTTGTATAATTTATTTAACTCTGTGCTCTTTGCCAAAGCCTGGAATATTTTTAGCTCGTTCTGTTGTTGGATTTGGCTTTTTTATGTGTGTTTCTGAGGGGTATTTTTAGCTTCATCCATGTTATTCTAACAACCTCCTATGCGTTTTTGTCCTGTCTGTGCAGGCTGTTGAACCCTGTCTCACAGGGAGCCGAGGGAGATTTCTAAGAATAACTGGGGAGTGTTTGGGGGTGCGGTGTTTTCCGGGGGAGATGTGCTCTCTGTGCCACTCCTGCCTCGGCCACCAATTCGCCTTACTGCTCACGTGACCTGGATATTTCAAAGGAGCACTCAGCGTCCCCCTACAGGAATAATCAGACTCGGTGGCTGCACGGGCCCCACTGAGGAAAAACCCACTTTCCAAAACAGCTTCGGTGGAGCGGGCGCGGCTGCCACAGGCACCCCAGTCTACGCAGCCGCCAGATTCCCGGATCCCTGTGGCTCTGTTGGGCACGGCGGCAGCTTTGATGTCTAGCTCTGTCACTACGGAGCGGGATGGGTAGAAGCTCGGAAAGTAACTCTTTCACACCTACTTAATGTTGGTAACTGCTGCAGAGACACTCTCGCACGGTGCAGCTAATGAGGTATTTACGAAAATGTATTTTTTTTCTTACACACACACACACACAACCCACGTGATGGGAGGGACACTCTCGATGGGGTCTTTTCTCACCAGAATATGTATATGTTTTTTTAATCTATAGGGCTAGGTGGAGTTTGGGTGATTATTTCATGATTTTACATTAGAGACGACTGGTCATCCAAAGTGCCTTTAACAGGAAGTAGGTTGGCATCTTACTCCAGAAACGGCCTGCCCCGATCCCCCACCCCCACCCCCAAGCCGCAGCCAAGACACATGGCTGCACAGGCCAAGTTAAATCACGTCCCAAAGCCAAAAGGGGTGGAGAAGAGTCCAAAAGGAGATTCACACCAAGAAGTGAACCAGCCCCTTGGTGGAGCCCCAACCTTGGGGGGGACCTCTAGGAGCACAGGACAGGAGCTGACCCAGCCGGAAGAGGGGGGAGGGGCGGGCGAGCACACAGCTCCCAAGTTTCTCCCTGGGGCAGCTACCTCCTGATTAAACCGGTTCCCGGGAAGAGGAGAGATCCCCCCCCCCCCCCCCCCCCCCCCCCCCCCCCCCGCAACTCCAGGCAGTAAGATAGAGGAGAAAACCTAGGTTAGTTCGAGTTGATTTTCCTTTTCTGTGCGTTCCCCCATCCCGAGATTTCACAGTTTTGCCTCCGGACCATCTGTATTAAAATCTAACACTGAAAATAATGGTTCCAAACATTTTAATTGTGCCTCTCCGTGACAAGGTTAAGGGAACAGCACTTTACCATAAACCCTACCGCTCGGACAGAAAGCCACCCGCACTTTCATTTTTGGGAAACAATGGGAGAGGCCTGGGAGCCCAGCACCCCCCCTTTAGGGTCCCGCAAGTGGACACCGTGGAAGCACCAGGTGGGAATGAAGCAGGGCAGCAGTGGAGGGACTCTGAGCGGTGGTCTGACCAGGCAGGTGGGGTGAACACACACCAGGACGCTTTCCCGGGGAAACGGGGGCTGCAGCCTGGATGTCTGCATCCTACGCAGACACGGGGAAGAATCTTCCCCAGCAATTTTGCTTTCAGCTCGGCAGCTGGGGCAGGGAGGGGCAGGCTGGACTACTACTTCAGCCTTGGCCCCTGGGCCAAGGCCATCCATCCACAGAGAGGGGAGACTACAAGAAGGTGGCCATTTGGGAATCTGCACACAGGATCCACACACAAGATCCAAAGACAAATTCTTTAACTTCTTCACCCCATCTTTTTCTCTCTAAATGAGGACCCACAAACTAAAGTACAGGGATCTCAAGAATAACTCCTCCTGTCTTAAAAATACACGCAGTGAGATTCTAAAAACGAATACGAAATCCTGGCTATCCTGGCTCTTAGCAATTGCAAAAGGCTTCCAGCCCCACACAACCAAGTCCAGGATCTCCAAACACAATAGGTTCCTCTGGTCCCCAAGGGGATGGAAACTGGGCCTTCAGAAGCAGAAGACACGGGGCCCTCCAGCACGAAAAGAGGGAGCCCTCTAGGGCCCCCAGTGTATGAGGAAGCAGGAAGGGTGTGGGGTCACAGACTAGGACCTGGTGCAGTTTCTCACAGCTCAGTGGCCTGCAGTCCAAGAACCACGTGGTCCAAGTTAGCATGAGCAAGACAAAGGTCCAGGCCACCTCGCCACATTCCCACCTGACTGGGTACTACCTAGATCTGGAAACAGGGGCAAGAAGAAGGAAATGGCCGCTGACCAAGAGCTGGCTGGGCAAGCAGGGTCAGGAGGCAGCAGTGACCTGAACTGATGGGGAACTGGGCTTGGCCTGGCTGCCCCAGGGGGCACAGTCCCAGCCAGCCTGGGCACTACTGTGGAAACCTGCTCTCTGCAACACTGTGACCTACCAACCTGGAGGGCAATGCACACTGGGGGACGAAGGCAGAGGCATCCCCTCTCTTCTCCAATCCTGCTGACTGGCCTGCCCAGTCAGGAGCTGAGGCTGGAAGGGAAGCTGGGCACTTGTCCCCGCTGCAGCTACCACCACGTCAAAGCCCTCCCTCCGCTCCCCAGTGGCCATGAGAAGAGTGGGCAGCGTCTCAGGGCAGTGGCAGGAACAGACAATGAACACAGGGCTATCGGCAAAAGGCGAAAGATATTTTAAAATCACCAATTGCTCAGTCAAATACTCTCCTTTCTCTTCCCAGTTATAAATCTAGAAGAGTAAAAAAATTCGGAGAAGGGAGAAGGAAAGCGGTCTACAGAGAAGGAGCACAGCCTCCTTGAGCTCCCGCAGTAAAGGGGAGCAGGCGGTGTGCGGCTAACGCCGCAGGAGGCTGGCCACTCTAGCCCAGGGCTGCTCACTCAGAACAACCGCGTGCTGTAAAAGCAGGAGGCCCTCTAGTAATTAAGCAATTTCAAGTTTGTTTCAGTTTTTTTTGAGTAAATGCATTTTTTCTTTTTGACTGCCTTTCCTTCCAACATTTTCCCTTCTAGCCCCGTTCTTGCCATCCGTTTTAATCCACACACTAATTGTAATCCCATTAAAGCAGATATAATTTTATTAGTATTCATGGTTCATCAAGCTAATAATAATAACTGCTACTGCCAAACTGAAAAATAAAAGCAGCAAATAATATTTCTGATGTTTAGAGTAAACTGTAAACAAAAGCAAGCCGATCTGCCAGGGTGACCAAGCAGGTCCACGAGCAGTTCCTCGGGCTGCCCCAACTCCACCCACGCTGGTCAGTGACTACCCCGCCAGCTACGGCTCCGCTCCAAGAGACTGGGTCAGCGCTACTAAGAACAGACCCTGGCGAGGGGAACACAAGGGGACTGCAACGCGGGCGCGTGCCGGGGCTGCGCGGGACAACTCAGGGTCTCTCCTCTTGAAGCCAAAGCGCGCAGACTCGCCTGCACCGAAATCCCGAGCGAGGCGCCTCTTTCTGAGTTCCGCGGTGCGGGATGCGCGGTCCGCATTCAGGCCACGCTTAGTCCGGCGTTAGCAGGATACCAGAGGCACTTGTTAAAGCGCATGCATCCCCTGCAAACCCATTCTCGCCCTGACACTTCGAGGCTTTATATAGAAACAGGATTTTCTCGTCTTACACTAGCAGTTCCCATTAGCGCTCCCGGGGCGCACACCACTCTAATCCGCTGGCCGGGCGCGCCCTGGCCCCCTCCCCCAGCCACACAGTCGTTCTGTCCCCGGCAGAAAGCGCCACGGTGTCTCAGACGCAGAATGTCTTAACGAGGTGAATGCAGAATGCAGAAAAGAGGCTTCCGCAAGAATTTACTTCTGCAGGAAGGGGTGGGGGAGGGTGGCTAGGAGTAGAAGGCTTGTGCTTGTTGCCTACTCTCGGGCTGCCCTGCGAGACCCAGAGTAGTCGGGGAAAGGCTGCTGGAAACGGCGCAAGCCCATGGGCTGGCAGGATGCATGGCCCGCTAGGCGCTGCGAAGGGAAATGAAACCAAAGCTCCGAGAACTGCTCCGAGGAGCGGAGCGGCCAGCGCTCCATGCACTGGCCACCGTTGCCAGCTGCGGCGGGGCCTGTGCACCGCACCCGCCCCGGCTGGGCACTGACCTGTGTGCGAAGCCATCGGCAGCGGCGACGGGAAGTACTTTCCGGGCTGGAAATGCGCGGCCGGCTGCGCTGCGGGGCCGGCGGGGGCGAGGCGCGCGGCGGCGGCGGCGCTGCGGTGGCCCAGGCTCCCGCGCTCCGACAGCAGATGCGGCGGCGGCGCGAAGTCTCGGCCATCCATACCGGGCCCCGGCCCCGGCCCGCCGCCGCCTCCAGCAAGCAGCGCGGCCGGGGCCTGGGGGCGGCTCGGAGTGCAGGCGGAGCGCGGGTGGCGCGCAGGAGACGGCGTCTGGGGTCACCGGCGGCACAGGCAGCGGAGCCGGTCAGCACACCGGCGGACTCGGCTTCTCGGCGGGCGGCCGCGCTCCGAGCCGGCGGCCGCCGTGCAGGTCCATGGTCTGCGGAGGCAAGCAGAAGAGATTGGTGACTCGGGGGTTCCTCTCTCCCGAGGGTCCCCGCCCCTCCCGCCACCAGCCCCCTCCTTGCGCGCCAACCGGAGAGGCATCCTGACCGGACAGCGGGGCCGGGAGTGCTCGGAGGACTCCCTACTGCACACGCTAACACGCCGGGTCACTGGAGCCGCCCTGCACGCGAGTCCGCGAGCACACACGCACCGTCCGAGCCACGCTTGGCCTGCCAGAGCCAGAGGCAACCCGACCGCGTTGCGCGCAGCTTCCCTTTCTGGTCCCTGAGAGTCCCTGCGGCGAAGGCGCCGTAGCGAAGAGGCTGCTGGCTCCGCTGGGTGATAAAAACCCAAATCTGCGAAGCCATCACGCACACTCGCACGCGCGCGCACACACACACATTCACACACACCCTCTCCCCTCCCCCGCTGCCCAAAGGTGTCTCGGAGGAAAAAGCCCGGGGTCCACGCTCCCCCCCCCCACCCCGGTCTTTCTGAGGTCCAGCTTTTACTGCATTCCGCTTAACCGAATAACCATGCTAATTAAGCGAGTAATTTTATTGATTGTAACTCAAGAGTTTTTTTTTTTTAAATAACCTTCCTTTTCTCCTCTCTCCCATCCCCCCCATGCGTCTTTCAGTCCATTCTTTTGAATGTCGTCCCCCGACTCAGCCCCAGCGGGACCGGCCCCCACCCTTCAGCATTGTGCCACAACCCCAGACTGGCGTCCCGGAACCCCGGGCGCCCCTCGACCGCCACTGGCATCACCTGGGCCGCTACGCCGCAGTGCCTGGCCTGCTGTCCCCGAGCCGGGAGCTTCCTGGTGAGGCTGGAACAATCACCCCGCCCCCCAACCAAATTCGCCCAGGATCTTCCTCTGCGGATTGGGGCTTTTGGGGGAGGGGGCTCAGAGAGTCAGAAATTGTTTTCTCTCGGCCTCCCAAATCGGCCACGACGTTTCTCCATTCAGCGCCTGCCCTGGATCACCTAACCAAGGTTGGTCTCTGCATGGCACCCTGGTCGACCCTGCGGGGAAGGAGCAGAGACCAAGCAAGGCGCAGCTTTCTCCTGGGTCTGGGTCCCAGCAGACCCTGGTCCTCCGTCTTCCCTCCCCACCTCTGGCAAGGCCGACTTAAAATGATCCTCCTCTCCCTTTTCTTCTACCCCTCCCATTGTGAAATGTCTACTCCAGGGCGAAATCGCAGGCAATTTCAAACTCTTGAGAGGAGCAACCGAGCAAACGGTATAAACTGTACACCACCATGCACGTGCGACCAAAGTCCCTCGGCCCTCCTCCATTTCGAAGACTTCTTTCCTTATTTCCAAATACGCATTGTTTTAATGCTTGACCTCAGCTCCAGCAGAAGGGAGGTATTCGTAATTGTGAACTTTACAGAAAATCAAAATCTTTTTTTAAGCCATCCCACCGTGACAACAAAGCGATTAAGATGTTTTGTATTTCGTAAATACCATTTAAATTGCTATATTTTATGCTCTGGGTTCTACATTGTCTTATTTGCACACTATTTTGTGTCTGATTTAATCTATAACCGAAAACATAATGTATTAAGTGAATACATATTTGCTCAGGTGATAAGCTTTTTTTAATATTTATTCGGAGAATTTTGCATGGTAAATAAACGACACTACACAAAGACTTCCCTTTGTGCTCAAACTGCATACAAAGGGGTTTGGGGCTCTCTTCCCTCTGGGGAGTTTCACTCTCCCCGGGTCCAACAAATAAACTCTCCTCTCCACCGCGCCGGCCTGCTCAGCGATCGCCAGGGTGCGGAAGGCGCAGGCAAGGCCGAGGCTCTAAGCTGGCGCCGGGGTCAGGGGAGGGGCTACCCAGGGCCGGTGAGGGACTTGCGCGCCCCTACCCAGGCCGGCGCCTCTCGAACCCGGGAGGGCGCAGAGGAGGACAAAGGGAAAGAAGGAAGGGGAGGGAGGTCAGGAACCTGCCGCTTCAAAGGCGCCGAGGGCCGGAGTGGGGTCGGAGGCTGCGAGCGCGGTACAAGGCTTCACGACGGCCTCCGGGGAGTCGTGTGCGCTGGGCTTTTGTTCTGGGCCCCCACCCCCAGTAAGACATTTCAAAGTAGGAGCGAAAAGTGGGGGCTGCAAGCGATTCTCGGGACGCGGGCTTTGAGCTCACGCTGGAGCGGCTTTACTCTCCACCCCCTGCGGGCCGATCGCTGGCTCGCTGGTGCCTTTCTCACCAGCCCGCTAGACTTTCTGCGCCAACAAGGGCTGGATTATGTCGCCAGGACCCGCCGCTGCGCTTCTGGACGGACTGGAGGGGACTTTTCTTTGTGTTCTGTTCTGCTCGAGAACTGCCGCGCCGCCCTGGGCTGCTCGCGCCCTGGGCCTGGGGAAGCCAGCGGCTCGGTAACGGGACGAGGAGGGGCAGCCACCGGGGCCACAGTGCGAGGGCCGAGGCCCGGAGCTGCGATGCAGCAATTCGCGAGTCCCGAGGCTCCGAGGTCTCCACGCGCCCAGTCTCAGGGCCGGACACCGCAATGGACCCCGGGTAAGGTTGGATAAGAGGAAACAGAAAGTGGCCGAGAGTCCCGCGCGGCCGGAGAGTCGTCGAGAAGAATGCGTCTAAAGCACCCGAACCCCAGAAAAACCTCCCCCGGGTGGCTGGGCGTGACCCCCCCACAGAGCCGCGGTTCCTCCAGGGGCTTGGCCAGCACTGGTACCCCCCGGCTTCTCGAGGTTTGCTTTGTTTTCAAATTTTGCATCTAAAAGCCTAGTCTGAGCCGCCTTTGTCCTCCCGTGGAGGCCAAGCTCTGGGGTCCGTGGGCTACCTCCTGCCGAGTCTCCCGCGCGGGTGGGCTCAAAGGGGCCTGCGAGGCCAGGCCGCAGCCAGGAGCGCACCGGACGCGAGTGGCTCCGGCGTCGCTGCACAACCCGCTCCCTGCGAAAGCCGCCCCCCCCAATCCCGGAGAGGAAAGAGAACTGGGTGGTGCGAGACCCCGGCTCTAGGAGATGGACCCGTCCCCGGACCACGCCACTCGGGTCGTGGCCTTGAGCCCGCGTGCTGCCCAGGACGCACCGCATGAAAACGCCCCACTATCGGCCCCCCTCCTCCACCCCCACTCCTCCAGAAAAAAAAAAGAAAAGATAAAAAAAGAATTAAGTCTGTGGGGAGCGAAACCTGAAAACCTGCTAGTACCCGCTCCAATCCCCTGTCCCTTCACGAGGCCCAGAAGAAGCGGCCGTGGCCAGCCAGAACCGACCGTTCCCCGCGCCTGGGAGCGACCGGGCGGGGCCCATTCAAGACTGCTGGGGGAGGGGAGTAGGATGGGGGAGCAAATAATTGGGGTTCGCTCAAGGTTTCTCCAAAGCTGGGCTCTGACTGCCCACTCGGGGCTACCCGCGGGGCTTTTGCTGAACGAAGCGTGGCGGTCTCTGTCCTGTCTCGATAATTTATTTTTAATGCAGGGTGTCGATCGAGACAACAAGCGCTCAGAGCAAAGCAAGGACGCATTACGGGGGGAATTTTAAGCCGATCGATAAAATTTTTCAGAGAAAAATTATCGTACTCACATATATAGTACATCTTTTTTTCTAAAAGCCTTTCAACATCATAACGGATTTTAAAAGGGAAGATCTATTATTTCTTAACGCCACAATCCTGAATTTCTTTTGCTTAAAAAATGTAAATCCCCAAAAGCCAAAATAAAATAATAAAATAACAAAAATACAAAAAAAATTTAAAAAAATGAAAGCAATTTCAGTTACTTACTGGAGGCTGTTTCCTGGATACAATTGAATGCAATACAATTAAATCAGTAAATGTGACTTTGGTTTGTATTCCTATTGGTATTTTCAATGTGCTGACTGTTGCACTGTGAATGCACGGCTTCCACAACAACGACTCTAGCGAGCCCATCCAGAGCGGCTCTCAAACCTGCAGCCCGGCGCGGCGAGCCACGGGCCCTGCATACTAATAAGCTCGTGCCACTCAACCCGGAGCAGTCCGCGCGCTGATTGGCCGCGCGGCCCTCCACGGCCCTGAGCTCGTGCCACTCATTCGGCGTAAACAGGCCTCCCAATAGGCTGGCGCCGGGCCAGGGAGCTGCCAATCAGGGAGCAGCAGGGCTACTACCGAGCCTGATGGCGCCTAATTCAAGCCCAGCGACTGCGCAGCTCCTCTGCGCAGATCATTGCTGCTGAATGGGAATGTGGTGGCGCAGGGCGGGAGAGGAGCACCGGCGTGTGAGAGCGCGTGTCCACGTCCGGGGGGTGGGGGACCTGGGGATTTGTTTTTCCTTAATTTGTCAGGCCTAAAGTGTGGGGTTTTGTTTGTTTGTTTGTCTTCGCGCAGAATAAAAAGAAACAGCCTCGCGCCGTCCAGATGCCCTGTCCACTCCTGGCGTCCGTCTGGCAGGTGGCGGAACCTGGGTGCAAGAAGGCCCAACTTCCAAGCGCAGAGGCCGGATTGCCTTGCTGTCCCTCCACCCGCAGGCCGCCACTCACTCGGACCCGAGCCGGAGAAAGCACTTGGGTCTGAGGCGTGGCCACACTGACTCCGTAAATGCTCGCCTGGCCCTTCCTCCGTCTGCCCGAGAGGCAGCGAGATGAACCTTTCTATCTGTCCGCTCTCGGTTTTATCTCCCTCTGCCACACTCTCTGCAGCGCAGCAACAATCGAAATGAAAATCGAGGCTCCCGTTGCTAAGATAAGGATTTACTTTTTTCATCAGCTCCTAGATTTTAAAAATATCTTCATTTGGTAATTTTAGGGGTGGTTGTCATGGTGTGAAAACCGTGCTTAGCATTTCTTACCTTCTGTCCTTCCATTTTCGCACTACAAAGGAAAACAGCCTCCAAACAATTCTCTTTATCATAATCTGAACCAAACCACCTTTTTAAATATTCTGCAAGCAAATATTCCGGTTAGAATTTGGTTGCCTACCCAAATGTTATTTATTTTCAGGAAGCAGAGGTGATGTCTTAGTGGCGATGAGTACATAATTCTGCTCCTCTTTTTCCGTGTGTGTTGGGGGGAGGGTATTTAAGTAGATGCCAAGCGACACAGCCAGACTCCTTTGAATTTTTCCAGTCTCTTTCCGGCGCGGGCACAAAGGAGTTAAACCCGAGCGCTGTGGCCGCCACTTTTTCCCCGCCTCCCTCGCTTCTGCGGAACCGCCACGATTGGTTGGCACTGTGCCAACGGGCTGTCCATCACCAAGTGTAAACAAGGCGCTGATTGGCTGTTATCCAGTCCGCACAGGGCCTTCTGAAAAAAGCAATTACTGGCTCCGAGGTTTCAAGGCTGCCCAAGGCCGCTTGATGAAAGGAGATAAACCGGGGACCGTTTCCAGGATCCCCGCGGGCCGACCCAGGCGGCGGCTCCAGAGCCGAGGTGCGACGGAGAGCCCGGGGATCAAAGGCAGCAGAAGAGAAAGGGGAAGCGGGCGCACCGCCGGGCCGGCCTGGCCCCCTGCGGGCCGAGCTGACCTGGGGTGGGGGCGGCGGGCGGGGACTCCGGGATTTCCCGCCTGTTCGGGACGGGGGCTCGGCCGGCGCCCGCCCGCTGCAGGTAAGCCCGGGTCTCCGCGGGCTGCGCCGGGGCGCCGGACGGGGCGCGCGAGCCTGGCTGCAGGATTGGCCAGCGCGGTGGCCGTGCGGCGCGCCGGGGAGCACGGGCTGCGGGGAGGCGCAGCTCCTGGAGATCCGGTTCGCGCGCGGCTGTGCACGGTGCGATTGAATCAGGCCGGCCTGGGCGGGATGGGTGCGGACGCCAGCTCGCGGTGGCGCGGCGGTGACCCGACGGCGAGCACAGGTCTGGCCGGGCTTGAGGTGAGCTTCGTTGCTCCAGTCCCACTCGGCAGCGGCGGCGAGCAGCCGTTTCCCGCTTCGCACGCAGGCGGAGCAGCTTCCCGGCTCGGGAGAAACCGCTGCGGCCATCCCTGTTCCCTCCCGGTCGGTGCGGGCATCCCTTATCCAAGCCCTAGATTATCTGCGAGGTTTGGAATCTCGAGTTCCTCATTTTCCTTACCTCATCTTGTTTTCTGATCCAGGAGTCTTTATATCTATCTAACTATCACCCTATTGAAAGTAGTCTCCGTCGCCCCATCCCCCCCAAAGAAGAAAAGTCTAAAAAAAAATTGGATCCTGTAGCGATAACCGCATGGTGAGCCTCCGGGCCGCTGCCAGCTCGGGGGGGGGGGGGGGGCGGGTACCCGGTAGGCCGGCGTGGGGGAGGGGCGCGCCCAGCTAGCTCCGCACCCCACCCTCCCACTACGCACAGCCGGGTCGCCCTGGCCGGACCGGAAAGATCCCTGAGCCTCGGATCTACCCCCCTTCCTCGGCGGGTGGAGACTGGCAGATGGGCACACCGGTAATCCAGCCGTATTCCAGAAATTCTAGACATGGAAGCATGTGGCTTCTTTTCCTCCGCAAGCCGCTTTAGAATCTTGGGGATCCCTAATCTCCGGATCCCTAAAAGTCAGGCATGAGGATTTGTCTCCAACACCCTCACGTGCTCCCCCCCCCCTTCTGTGTGGCTTCCTTGAGAGCCTCCCCGGGTGTGAAAGGCCTCGGCTCCTAGCTGTCTTGCTCCCACCTCTGTGTCCTTTCTAACCCCAGCGTTCACTTAAGTGTGGTGGCCCTTTTTCCTCCTCCTCTCAACACTGTTTCAAAATAATTGTTACAGCGAATAGCTGCCGATGCGCCTCTGGATGCCGCCAGCAGCTGGCAGCTGCCCAGCGCGGGCGCACAGCCCCCGGCAGTTCCACAAGACCTAAATAAGCTCCCGTGTTCCTCTCGCAGGGCTCGGCCTCCCGGGCGGGCCCGGGCATGTTTGGCTGGGTTCGCTATCTGCTCAGAGCAAACCATCCTGGTTTTCCTACTTGACTTCCTGCTGTCCGAAACTAACAAGTGTTTTTAATTTTAGAAGAACATGGCGTGAGGATCGGGGTCCATCTAGAGCAGTGGTTCTCAACCTTCCTAATGCTGCCGCCCTATAATACACAATTCATGTATAACGATAAAATGATTATCGTTGCTACTTCGTCACTGTAGTTTTGCTACTTTCATGAATCGTAATGTAAATGTTTTTGGAGTTAGAGGTTTGCCAAAGGGGTTGTGACCCACGGGTTGAGGACGCTGTTTTAGAGGCAGAGGAATGGGGAGGGTTAGAAAGAGAGGCAGGATTACAACCCAGAGATCTCCGCACTGAGGGCTACGAATCTGTGGAATCGCCTGAAGTTTTAAAAAATTGTGCAGCCACAGATGCCCAGTCGCCAACCCAGGACACAATAGCCTCTGAATGCCTGGGCCACCTCCAGAGCCTGGCTGATACCCACCATAGTTTCCTCTAAGCTAGGGTGCCCTACATAGCCAGCCGTGTCCCGGTACTGGGCACAGCCATTCACACATCAAGCAATAGTGCAGTTTTAAACGTGTGCTCAGTCTACATGCACGTTCTGCGGGCTCCCATCCATGTCCAGATATACCACAGAATGGGCCCTGGCACCCATGTGCGTCTCACACCACGCTCACTACATTTGTGTGCACACAGAAAAGCAAGCTGGCAGGGTGGCTCAGCAAGCTAAGGCACTGGCCAAGCCTGACCACCTGAGTTAGATCCGGGGGTTGCCCGATACCCCGTGGTAGAAGGAGAGAGCTGACTCCTGTAGGGTTTTGGGGTTTTTTTGGTTTTGTTTTTGTTTTTTTTTGCTGACCTCATGCTCACACCATGGGTGCAGGCAGGCCAGCAGCATGCACACACACACACACACACACACACACACACAAATAAATGTAATGTAGAAGGACAGTGTGGTTCTCACACACTGACACACATCACACACGTGTGCATGCTCTCCATGTTACAACCAACCGGACTGGACTGTAGCAACCCGGTACCCACAAACCCTGGTCCCTCCTCCAGCGTTCCCCACTGCCCCTGCAAGGCTGGAGCCTGGAAGCAGGCTTGGCCTCCCAGCTCCCAAATGACCCAGAGCCTATCTACGGTGTGAACTCATTGAATAAATAATCACTTTTTAATACAAGGGGGTGGGGGTTTATCTCGAGTTACATAAAATTGTGAATTAGTCGCTGCTCCAAATAAATGCGTCCTTGGGCCGGAGAGCAGCGGAGCTGCATGCAGGGTAATTGTGTGTTGGGTGTCTTTCCATTGTTCCCTGGGCCATTAGTCAAAGGGCAAATTAGAAACAATTTCTTGACGACAAAAAAAATTGACTCTTAATTCTTCCCACAGAAGTGGAAGGGACAGGTCCCGAGGCCTAAGGCTGAAGCCTGGTCTGGAGGGTCAGGGGGCCCAGAGGGAGAGGGAACCTGGAGCTGGGTTTTGGAATAGCGTGCAGGTTGGACCAGGCCAGAGAAGGATGGAACTGGGGGCGGGGGGCGGGTCCTAGCATCTGTTTCTCAGTGAGATGACAGTCAAACTCCATCCATCTAGAATCAGGGATAGAAAGGATGGCTGAGAACATTGGGGTTTTACACTCTTCTCAAAGGGGTCAAATGTAAAAGCTTCCTGAGGTCCTGGATCCATGAAGATCCTCTACCATGTCAAGGTCTGACTAGAAGGAATACGGCAGAGGAAGGTCTGAGTGTGGCCAAGTACGTTCCTAACCATGAATCCTACCTGGGTCACCCAAAGGTACCTGCTGGTGCTCTGTGCCTGGGAGTATGGGTGGCCTCTTGTTTGCTAGGTCTTCTGTCTTTGAGGCATACGGTTTGTGCACAGACTTGACTGGAAGGAGAGAAGCAAGTTGGGGTGTCCCGACCCCAAGATGAACGTTCTTCCCCAAAGGATACTTCAAACAGCCCATTTATTTAGCTGGAGCAAGAGGTGTTGCCCTGCCCTGGGGGGGGGGATATTCCAGCCACACACACACCCAGCTCCTGTCCCCTCCCAGCTGGAGAAGGAACGAAACAGAGAAGCCGAAAAGGAAGATTTGCAGGATCCTGTTGCTGAGTGTCCCTGTTCTCCGCACACCTCTGGAGGCCTGGCTGTGCCCCCAGATAACATCGACCCTGAGGCATTTCCCTGACACCGCTCCAAGCCCAGCCAGGAACTTCGCTAAATTGAAGCTGGCTCAAGCCGGAAGGACCCCTGTGGGAGGCACAGGTTTTCCCTTGAAGGCCATAGATAGATCAAGACCTGCTCCTAAGTTTTAAAAAGCCAGGAGAGAGAAGCCCCAGACCATGCTGAAGTCAGATAAACAGCTTCTCCAGCCTCTGCAGCTTCCTCCCAGGGAGGTTTAAATTCTGTTGTTGCTGATTTCCTCCAACCGGGTCAGGAGGCTGCCCAGCCCCCTCCCTGCACAGGAAAGGTGCTTGTTAAACACAGTCGTAATTTGTGGCTAAATATAACCCAGTGTGTTCACACGGAAAGCATAATTCAGAGGGCTCGTTGCGTGAGGTTATCAGTGAGGAGACCCATCTGGGTTAAATTAAAGTGATTTTCATAAGGAGCAGAAGCATCTATTGCTTCTCTGGGCCCTTTCACTGGTGATAGTGTGATATCTGCAGTGAAGGGACCGGAGGAAGGTGGGCGGACGCCCCGCACCCCAGGCCTGAACCCTGGGCCTCCCATTAGAGGTCTCTTCATCCAAGGCCGGCTGTGGCTTCTGCTAAGCCTGCGAAGGTTCTGGAGGAACAGGCAGGCTTTGGGGCGTGGGAGGAGATCTTTGGGGGTCTGGTAAATAAGAAGTGATGGATTTTCCTGTTAGGTTGACCCAAGTAGCCCTCAGTCTTGGCAGTGAGGGTCACTCCCTGCCGCCATAGCCCAGGAGGGAAAGCCCGGATAATCGGAGAGATTCTCAATAATAGGTCAGGATGGCTGAGTGACTGAAACAACCTTGCTTAGGGACAAGTGCCTGGTCAGTCAGTCTTTGTGTTCCTTCCAGGTATATCCCCCAAGGTGAAGCCGGCTTCAGGCTCTCAGACCGACACCTGCTTCCTCTGCTGGCTGCGCCAGGCCTGGCTTTGAAGGAGGTACAGTGGCTACAGGATTACAGGCTTCAGCTGTGTGCAGATGTGTTCACGCAGGTCAAACGGCAGGGTATGTCTGGAGCACCTCTCCGGAGCTAAATTTCCGCTGCCTGGGCTCACAGGGACAGGGAAACCAGAGGAAGCTCGGACCTCTTCTAGGCCCTAGGAAACACATGCAGGCCAAGTGTCAGGGACTCCTCGGACCCAGGGTTTGCAGGAGTCACAGCCCCCAGGCCCTCCTCACTACCCTGTTCCTTCAACAGGCCCTCTACTCGCTTCCTTTCAAGTTCCCATTACTGTGAAAGCCCAACTTTAACTGACTTCCCCACCGCCATTTCTGCCCCACAAAGGGGACCCGTTGGGAGAACCCACAGCCATGAGGCTCTCCTGTTGTTCTAGCGCTCTTGCCTCTCTCTCTACCCCCAGTTGTCTGGTGGTGATTCCCTCTTTGGGCCTGGGACTTGACACCTGGCAGAAGACCCCACCACCAGTACTATAAGACACACTGTGCACCTTCTCCCTGATTTCTGGGGAGATTTGAGCCCTTGGCCTGGTTACCTAAAATATAAGCCAAATAAAAATTTCCCTCCAAGTTACCTCTGAGCATCAGGATCTGTCTCAAGCCTGGAGGCAGCTGGGCCCCCTGACTGCTGGCTCCTGGCTGGAGTGTGGCATGGCCACCGCCTCTTTTGTTAACAGGACAGTTGATCCATTAAATTAAAAATCAGTCAGTAGATCATTTTTTCCTAACGTGCAAAAACACACTCCACCCTAATTCTGAGACATTAATGCCAGTGGAGGCAGGAGACTACCATGGGACAATACCACAAGTGGCCCCCAAAGTAAACTACCAGGATAACCTCTTCACCAGAATCCAGGTTGACCTGAGGAACCCGCCTCAGGGCCAGGGCCATCGCCTAGCGCCCCCGTTCCCCCATGCACTTTCTAGCGTATTCCACTTGGGCAGACACTGAAATGCGGGGTTCAGAGGTCTGTGTCACCCCCAGTGTGGTTGGTACTGGGAATCCAACATGAGGCCCCTTGCTGCTTCCCTGCACACTAGAAGCACAGACACAATTGTGGGGGTGGGAGTTGGCAGGGTTGTTGTCTTCCCACCGGGTTTTTAAGTAGCAAGATTTTTAGATGCAAGCACACAAACAAAAAGCCTCCTGAGGTGGTTGGTAAAAATTCAAAGCCTCTACATCCGAGGCCGAAACAAAAGCTCTTTGAAAGTGCCGCTGCGGAGATGGAGCGCTTCTCGGATCTCGTGGAGCCATCCGCCCGGGACCCGCATCCGGAGAAGGAGCGGGCAGGCGCGGGTGTCCCCACCTGCTCACCGCTCAGTCCTGTCCCCGAGAAGAGGAAAGCGGCCAGAGGCACCATAACCACAAATTTATGGCCTAGGTGACGTGCTTCCCTCTCCCACAATGGGGCCTGGTGACATTAAACAGAAAATTGATGGGAAGGGAGCGAAATCTAATCTTTCTCTTCCACGTCGGCTCTTCGCGCTTTTCGGCGAGGGGGCTGGGGCGGGAGGAAGACAGTGGCTGCCTGGAGTTTACAGCTCTGGGCCAGAGGCTTCTTTCTATCTGGTTTCTCAACACGGGTAGGCTGGGGGGCCGCGACACTTCACGGCTTGCCCACTCGCAGTTGCATTTCGAGGTCCCGGGTCCCAGGAACACCCCATCCAGAGCAGAGCACCCCGCCCCCACCGTGGCCACTAGCGCCCACTCCCCACCACTGACTGCAGCACTGTTCCCCGGGGCGCACCGGGTGCCTCCTGGCACTGAGCTGCTGCGCTGAGTCCTTAAAGGAGCCGCTCTTCAATCAGGCTTTGTCAGAGCGTCTAGGGGAAGGTCACTCCTAGTGGGACAATGCCCTGGGGGCCCCGCTGCCCCGGGGCACACATTACCTCCCCACTCCAGGCTTGTGTTGCACCTGGGTTGTGCCAGCACATCTGGCTGGGGTTTGAGCTTTCAGTGAGGGTGCCCCTGGGGTCCATGGGATGAGGCTCAGGCCTTGCTTGCCTCTGTCTCTGCCAGATTCCACCTCTCTGAACACCTCGAGACTTCTCAGGACCCACCCAGGGAGGGGATGATTCCCATTTTTACAGTCGCTAAATTAAGGCAGTTTGACAAGTAACTTGTCCTCACCCAGGATCTGAATATGTAGACCCTGGGTCCTGACACTTGTGCAGTGAAAGCCAGGAACAGAAATACGTGGGCCTAGGACCGGCATTGGGTGTTTGGGATCACCATACCCAAGAAGAATATTCCAGAAGTCCATTTTCCCAGGTCAGCCCTTCTGAAGGTTACACTCAGCACCCTATCTCAGAGCCTGGGGTAAAGCCCAGCAGGGCAGGTCTCCCTCTCAGAGTCTGGAAGAATAGCTAATGTGCAGTGGGAATCTGGAAGCCAGTCCCCAAAGGGTCAGGTTGGCCTGAAACCAGCAAGGTTACATTTAACAGGCTGGAAGTGAACCTCTACTCTTAGGTTCAAAAATCGGTTGTAAAAATGCAGGCAGCTTCCTGCTGTGGACAGGAGGAGCCAACCACAGCTGCTGTGCCATTCAGACGGGAGGACACACACACACACACACACACACACACACACACACACACACACACGCATGCACGCCCATTCCCAGCCAGTCCCCCTTGTGAATCTCCACAAGTGCCTGCAGCTAAGGGTGGGGGCTCCCAGGATGTCTGACCCAGAACTTCTGATGTCAGGCCCTCTGGGGGAGGGGACGCAGCTGGGGACAGCAGAGAATGGGGTCCTTGTGCCCCTGTCATCGGGCCCAGGGCTTCGATGAACACGGCTTTGTCCGAACCCACACCCCGTGGTGACCACGGGACCAGAGGATCAGTGGGCCTCAGAACAAGAACTGCCTGCTTTTTGGCTTTTTGGCCTTGGTTAACTCTTAAACAGATAATGGCTGCACAGTCTCCCCGGCCATGTGCCTGGGAGCAGGCAGGAGAGATGAAAATTCAGTTCGAAGTCCAAAGTCTGAAACAACTTTGTCAAAAGTCAAGTTTTCTGTTAAAATGACCGTCACCAATGTCGGAGGTAAAAGGTAACCAGGTGGAGAAGTCATCTGACTTACTCGGCCTCCCTTCAGAGTTCAAGGGCGGCTGGCAGCAGAAGCCCACTGACAGTTCCCAGGCTGGCCTGGCCGTGGTGTGGAGCACACCTCCTGAGAATCCTTGGGTATCTGAGAAAGGGCAGAGGGCCTCACGGTGACTCCCTGAGCAGGTGGGTTGTGGAACAGTCCCCGAAGGCTTCCTGGAGGGTGAGTGGGGAGAGGCTTTCCAGAGGCCTGATGATGAATGTGGGGTCCTCCCCGATTGCCTGTGAAGGGGTAGGGCGGTGATGACACTGGGACCCTGGGAACTTGGACCGCAGAGAGTGGCCCCTCCTGGGTCAACAGTCCAAGAACCCTAGAACCGGAGCAGTGGAAAGATAGGGGAGTTTTAGTGTATTTATAATTTTCCCTATTTCTCAAATTTCTCTTGAAATGGATTTAGTCTGCAATCAGAAGCAACCACTCAACACTGCCCCAGAAAATACGCAATGAAAGTGACTTGCTCAAGGTGGGCCCTGCGCCTGAGCTGTCGGACCCTGTGCCCCATCCTCATCTCTGCCCCAAAAGCTCCCGGCATATAGAGAAGGTTTGCAGGGAAGTTACAAAGCACCCCTTCCACCCTCCTCCGTGGTGTAGCTAGTGACAGAGTTGTTTTGGGAGCACACACAGAGAGGCATCTCAGCCAGGTTAGTTGAGGTTCCTGACCATGAGAAGCCCCATAGCTCTGGGGAGGCAAACCAGTAACATTCAAAATTGCATGTTGAGCCCAAAGAGGTCCCAGGTACCCACTACATCAGGGTCTTGTAGGTCCTGGTCTTCAGGCTAGGGCTGGCCTCCATTAGAACTCCAGAGATGAGGAGCAGTCCCGGCAATCCAGAGCCCTGTCCTTGAAGTTGGGGCTAGTGAGCCATGCCATGCTCGGAGCTATGGAGGCGAGCAGCTGCTAGGTGTGGGACTCAGCAAGGCTGGGGTCCCTTCAAAGCCCTTCGCAGGCCCCTACATACTTGTGGTCATGCCCATGTCTGTCCACCCCCATCTCATGTCTGTCTCATCAAGTCTGCCCTGTGACTGGTGATAGTCTGGCTCCAACCATTCCCCAGTGTGGGTCCTGTAGGAAATTTGTCAGGAAGTGGGTGGAAGGTGAGCTCCAGGGATCACCGACTATGTACAGGACCTAGATGTGGCTCGACGTGTGAGCAGGATAGTCCAGGAAGGGTTGGGAAGTTTGGAATCTAAGGGGCCAGCAAGGAAAGGGGGTAAGATACAACAGGGCCCATTGCCACGCTCCACTGGCGAAGAGAAAGTGCCAGACACGGCAAGGTCCCACCCCTCCTAGTAACTGCTTCTAATGGATCACGGGAGGTCTGGCGCATAGGAAGGAGGGAGTCAGTGCTCACTCCACAAATCCTAGGGAGGACACAGGAGACCTGGATGGACATGAAGCCAGGTCATACAAGCCAAACCCTAAGAACCCTGTGCATGAGGTTCAGGCTGTAGCTGTGAAGTCCAGAAACCTAGTGACTACTGGCTCAGGATACTAATACAGACTCAGGGAGCCCCAAGTAGCCCAGAAAAGAGCACTGGGATTCCTTCCTATGCCCCTTCACACCCCAAAGCAGACCCCAAAATGCAAGGAAGGGCCTGCAAGGGTTCTTCATGCCACCCGCTGTTAACCACCTCCCTGACAGGCTAAGTGGGACGGGATGCTGGGAAGGAGTCAAGGCCTAGGAGCCTAGGGGAAATTGTCAGAGTTGGGTGGGGCTGTCCCCCAGAGGAGGAGGAGAAAGATAAGTGTCTTGCCCTGGTGATTCGGGCATTTCCCTCCTATCAGGAAATTCGCATTATTAATAAATCACAGGTCCAAAGTTCAAAGGTTGGGGTGGGAAATTGGAAGCAGAAAAGTGAATGTCTTGTAGTAAAGGAGGTGGCCTTGCCCCACAGGAGGGATGGGGACAGAGGGACCCGAGTATAGTGGAGAGCAGTTCTGCCCCGCCACGTCTTGAACGACCATGACCACCACCCTCACCTGTGACCTTATCCCTCCTCAGAGAACCCCCAAGGCCACAGCAGAGATCTCAGATTCATGGGCCACCTTGTCCCAGAAGCAAGGGTTCTACAGAGGACACCCCCCTCTTGCCTAATCCACACGACACTCTTTCCCACTTCTCAAACCCCTCGGTGATCTGGCTGTCCTGGAAGAAGCCCTTCACTGTCTCCCGTCACACAGAGTGACTAGGCTGTGGCTTGCATGTGCACTCAACAGGCAGAGATGAAAAACCCAAATCTGGCCGGGTGATGGTAGTGCACGCCTTTAATCCCAGCACTCGGGAGGCAGAGGCAGGCGAATCTCTGTGAGTTTGAGACCAACCTGGTCTACAGAGCTAGTTCCAGGACAGGCTCCAAAGCCACAGAGAAACCCTGTCTCGCAAAACCAAAAAAAAAAAAAATTCTGCAAAGAATTGCTTGGGAGAACAGCGACTCTCCCTCGCCCTCCCTGTCCAGATCGGTACAGGGAAGAACGCGATAGGGATTAAAGGAACTCGGTAGATGAGCAGCCTCATGAGCAGTGGGAATCCCTGCTGCCTGACCAGATCAGATGCTCTTTCTTGCCATTTTTTTCTCTTGGTAAAAACAACTGTCCTGACATAATGGGGGCGCACACTTTTAATCCCAGCACTCAAGAAGCAGAGGTAGGCAGATCTCTGAGTTCAAGGCCATCCTGGTCTATGTAGCAAGTTCCGGGACAGCCAGGGCCTGTCTCAAAAAACAAAACAAAGGGCTGGAGAGATGGCTCAGAGGTTAAGAGCACTGGCTGCTCTTCCAGAGGTCCTGAGTTCAATTCCCAGCAACCACATGGTGGCTCACAACCATCTGTACTGAGATCTGGCGCCCTCTTCTGGCGTGCAGGCATACATCGAGGCAGAATGTTGTATACATAATAAATAAATAAATCTTTAAAAACAAAACAAAAAATCCTCTTTTTATCTGGGGCACGCCTCCTGAATGGTCAGGTCCTTGCCTTCTGTCCTGATTCTAGCCCCTGTTCAGGCTTGTCCCTCTGCTGGTGACTTGGCGACAACTCTCAAGTCCACCTCTTGGTGGTAACCCTGCCAGGAGAAACACTCAGGTCTGCTCTTCTTTCCGGTGGGGGGGGGGGATACACATGTCAGGGACTCCTGCCCAGAGACAAGAGAAAGGTGGTGATGAGGATAGCTAATTTGAGGCAGACTCTCACACCATAATCCAGACTAGCCTTGAATCTAGGCAACTCTCCTGCCTCTGCCAAATGCTGAGGAAGCTAATCCCGTGCTACATATGTATATATATGATATCAAGATTGGCTGACCATCTCAAGTTGAAAGGGTTTCAGGTAGGTTGGGA